ATATATAACCAATGCGTAAACAACTATAACAATTTAAATAATAGAGGTGATGCGTAATAAAACTTAAACCTATTTCAAATTTCAAATAACTCTTTAAGCAATCAAAGTAATACGATTTAGTAATATTGCCTACCTGTACAACAAGTTCGGTGTGTCCATCGTTCACATCGTTCACATGTCACATCGTTCAACATATCGCTTCCTGGCGAGGCCGGACAATCTTCATACACGTACGACAGTCGTCAGACATGACGATCGCAATGAAGTTTCTATCGAAATATCGCTGCATATATGACAAAATTATGCTATTCAAGTTGCCGACTGTCTGTTTAGTTGAAATCATACACATTTGCCTCTTCACACTTGGAAGATCGACAAAGATCGATTTCAACAAGATGTGATGACAAAAAAAAAAATCAACGTCTGTCATCAAATAAAAGTAAAAACAACGTCGGGGGACTATACAGCCATGGTGTTTACACGGGGTTTTCTAGAAGCCATACAGTTTCCAACGCACGAGGTAAAAAGATAAACAAAAGACAGTGATTGTAATGTGTCTTAAATAGCAATCTTACTCCGTATGTTTACACAGGTGTATTTTGTTTTAGACAACATGTAAAATGAAAAGACAACAAATGTACAATTTTTGATTTTATTTATTTAAAAAAAGTAACATGAATTATCTATTATATAAATAAATTTAACTTAAAATTTAGTTCCAAATAAACATGAATCATATATATAATATATGAGGCCGGAACGACTAAGTATACGGGGCCGGACCGGGAAGGGGCCGGAACTACTAAGGTCGGAACGACTATGGACGGAACGACTCGGGGCTGGAACGATCTGTTCGTCATTAGATCTTTTGTATCGAATTGCTAGTATACATTACCTTCTAAGATAACAACACACACGTACCGTGTACGACATCGTGGTCCATATCCATGTTGAATGGCTGAGTCGTCTATACGTAATTATGTCATTGTATATTGTATGTATATATGCATGTGTTTCTATCTATTGTTTTGTTGACGAATCGAATGTCGTTTCGTGTGCTGTTACTGTACTTCTATGCTTGCCCAGCCTCCAAATTATTATATGTAACGTTATGTACTCGCTATATCATGTATCCTTTTCACGTTCACGTCACAGTGTATTTTACAACGATATATGACTATGGTTAAAACAGTAATAGGCATATCACGTGATGGGACGTGTAGGAACACTAGGGG